ATAATATTTTGTGGAGAGATTTGGAAACTATTAAGAACTCAATGTACCAAATTTCAGCGTATTCGGTAGAAAAACGCGCTCAAGAACCCCAAAATACCGAAAATGGGGGATATCCGAAAAAATTGACCTATATTTATAATTTTTTGTGGAGAGATTTTGTACCTATTAAGAACCCAATATATTAAATTTCAGCGTATTCGGTTGAAAAACGCGCTCAAGAACCCCAAAATACCGAAAATTGGGGGTACCCTTATATGGGGGCTATCCGAAAAAATGTACCTATATACATAATTTATTGTAGAGAGATTTGGTGCATATTAAGAACTCAAAATACAACCAATTCGGTGGAAAAATACGATCAAAACCCCCAAAATACTGAAAATTAGGAGGTACCGTTTTATGGGGGCTACCAGAAAAAGTGGACCTATATTTATAATTTTTTGTGGAGACATTAAGTACCCAATAAGAACTCAATGTACCAATTTTCAGCGTATTCGGTTGAAAAACGAGCTCAAGAACCCCAAAATACCGAAAATTGGGAGGTACTGTTATATGGGAGCTATACCTAAACGTGGACCGATATATCCCATCTTCGAACTTGACCTGCCTGCAGACAAAAGAAAACCCTATGCAAAATTTCAGCACCCTATCTCAATTCCTTCAGAATATAGCGTGATTACAACAGACGGACAGACGGACGGACATGGCTAGATCGCTTAGAATTTTACCCTGATCAAGAATATATATACTTTATAGGGTCAGAAATGAATATTTCGATGCGTTACAAACGGAATGACAAAATTATTATACCCTCCATACTATGGTGGAGGGTATAAAAAGGGGGTTATATGGGGACTACCCCAAAAATATACGACTACAAAATACCAAATTGCAGCAAATTCGGTTGAAAAACGCGCTCAAGAACCCCTAAATACCGAAAATTGGGGGTATCCTTATATGGGGGCTATCCGAAAAAATCGACCTATATTCATAATATTTTGTGGAGAGATTTGAAAACTATTAAGAACTCAATGTACCAAATTTCAGCTTATTCGGTAGAAAAACGCGCTCAAGAACCCCAAAATACCGAAAATGGGGGTACCTGTATATGGGGGATATCCGAAAAAATTGACCTATATTTATAATTTTTTTTGAGCGATTTTGTGCCTTTTAAGAACCCAATGTATTAAATTTCAGCGTATTCGGTTGAAAAACGCGCTCAAGAACCCCAAAATACCGAAAATTGGGGGGTACCCGTATATGGGGGATATCCGAAAAAATTGACCTATATTTATAATTTTTTTTGAGCGATTTTGTACCTATTAAGAACCCAATGTATTAAATTTCAGCGTATTCGGTTGAAAAACGCGCTCAAGAACCCCAAAATACCGAAAATTGGGGGTACCCTTATATGGGGGCTATCCGAAAAAATGTACCTATATATATAATTTTTAGTAGAGAGATTTGGTACCTATTAAGAACTCAAAATACTAAATTACAGCCAATTCGGTGGAAAAATACGATCAAAACCCCCAAAATACTGAAAAGTAGGAGGTACCGTTATATGGGGGCTACCAGAAAGAGTGGACCTATATTTATAATTTTTTGTGGAGACATTTAGTACCCAATAGGAACTCAATGTACCAATTTTCAGCGTATTCGGTTGAAAAACGAGATCAAGAACCCAAAAATACCGAAAATTGGGAGCTATACCCTCCATACTATGGTGGAGGGTATAAAAAGGGGGCTATATGGGGACTACCCCAAAAAGGGGGCGATATTGGGAGTACCCCAAAAAGGGGGCGAATATTAATAATTTTTGGTAGGGATATTTGTTACCATATACGACTACAAAATACCAAATTGCGGAAAATTCGGTTGAAAAACGCGCTCAGGAACCCCAAAATACAGAAAATTGGGGGTACCCTTATATGGGGGCTATCCGAAAAAATGGACCTATATTCATAATATTTTGTGGAGAGATTTGGAAACTATTAAGAACTCAATGTACCAAATTTCAGCGTATTCGGTAGAAAAACGCGCTCAAGAACCCCAAAATACCGAAAATGGGGGTACCTGTATATGGGGGATATCCGAAAAAATTGACCTATATTTATAATTTTTTGTGGAGAGATTTTGTACCTATTAAGAACCCAATATATTAAATTTCAGCGTATTCGGTTGAAAAACGCGCTCAAGAACCTCAAAATATCGAAAATTGGGGGACCTATGGACCTATATTTATAATTTTTAGTGGAGAAATTTGCTACCCAATAAGAACTCAAAGTACTAAATAACAGCCAATTCGATGAAAAAATGCGATCAAAACCCCCAAAATACGAGATATGGAGGCTACCAGAAAAAGTGGACCGATATTTATAATTTTTAGTTTAGATATTTGCTACCAAATAAGAACCCAATGTTCAAAATTTAAGAGCATTCGGTTGAAAAACACGCTCAAGACGCTCCGAAAAAATTGACCTATATTTATAATTTTTTGTGGAGAGATTTTGTACCTATTAAGAACCCAATATATTAAATTTCAGCGTATTCGGGACTATCGGAAAAAATTTTGACCCTATATTTAAAAAATTTTTTGTATTTTGGAGAGATTTGGTATGTTTTAGGAACTCAAAATACTAAATTACAGTCAATTCGGTGGAAAAATACGATCAAAACCCCCAAAATACTGAAAATTAGGAGGTACCGTTATATGGGGGCTACCAGAAAAAGTGGACCTATATTTATAATTTTTTGTGGAGACATTTAGTACCCAATAAGAACTCAATGTACCAATTTTCAGCGTATTCGGTTGAAAAACGAGCTCAAGAACCCCAAAATACCGAAAATTGGGAGGTACTGTTATATGGGAGCTATACCTAAACGTGGACCGATATATCCCATCTTCGAACTTGACCTGCCTGCAGACAAAAGACAACCCTATGCAAAATTTCAGCACCCTATCTCAATTCCTTCAGAAGATAGCGTGATTACAACAGACGGACGGACATGGCTAGATCGCCTTAGAATTTTACCCTGATCAAGAATATATATACTTTATAGGGTCGGAAATGAATATTTCGATGAGTTACAAACGGAATGACAAAATTAATATACCCTCCATACTATGGTGGAGGGTATAAAAAGGGGGCTATATGGGGACTACCCCAAAAAGGGGGCGATATGGGGACTACCCCAAAAAGGGGGCGAATATTAATAATTTTTGGTAGGGATATTTGTTACCATATGCGACTACAAAATACCAAATTGCAGCAAATTCGGTTGAAAAACGCGCTCAAGAACCCCAAAATACCGAAAATTGGGGGTACCCTTATATGGGGGCTATCCGAAAAAATGGACCTATATTCATAATATTTTGTGGAGAGATTTGGAAACTATTAAGAACTCAAAATACCGAAAATGGGGGTACCTGTATATTGGGGATATCCGAAAAAATTGACCTATATTTATAATTTTTTGTGGAGAAATTTTTTACTTTTTAAGAACCCAATATATTAAATTTCAGCGTATTCGGTTGAAAAACGCGCTCAAGAACCCCAAAATACCGAAAATTGGGGGTACCCTTATATGGGGGCTATCCGAAAAAATGTACCTATATACATAATTTATTGTAGAGAGATTTGGTGCCTATTAAGAACTCAAAATACTAAATTACAACCAATTCGGTGGAAAAATACGATCAAAACCCCCAAAATACTGAAAATTAGGAGGTACCGTTATATGGGGGCTACCAGAAAAAGTGGACCTATATTTATAATTTTTTGTGGAGACATTTAGTACCCAATAAGAACTCAATGTACCAATTTTCAGCGTATTCGGTTGAAAAACGAGCTCAAGAACCCCAAAAAATTGGGAGGTACTGTTATATGGGAGCTATACCTAAACGTGGACCGATATATCCCATCTTCGAACTTGACCTGCCTGCAGACAAAAGAAAACCCTATGCAAAATTTCAGCACCCTATCTCAATTCCTTCAGAAGATAGCGTGATTACAACAGGCGGACGGACATGGCTAGATACTTTATAGGGTCGGAAATGAATATTTCGATGCGTTACAAACGGAATGACAAAATTAATATACCCTCGATACTATGGTGGAAGGTATAAAAAGAAATCCTCGCTTATGATAGTCCTTCAAAAAACATTAAAAACCCCACATTTAACACTGATGGTAAAAAATATTTTTAAAAATTCAAGCATAGAATAGACAATCAACAAATATTTTTTAAAATCCACGCTCAGGATAGACAATCAACAAATATTTTTAAAAAGCCACGCTTAGGGTAGACTGTCAAACAAATATATGCTTAAAAATCCACGCTTAGGATTGACAGTCCAAAAAATATTTTAAAAATTCCACGCTCAGGATAGACAATCAACAAATATTTTTGAAAAGCCACGCTTAGGATAGACAGTCAATAAAATATATGCTTAAAATCCACGCTTATGATTGACAGTCAATTAAAAATAGTTTTAAAAATCACGCTTAGGATAGACAGTTAACAATATATTTTTAAAAATCGACGCATAGGACAGACAGTCAACAAATATTTTTAAAAATCCACGCTTAGGATAGTCAAAAAATAGTTTTAAAAATCCGAATTTACGCTTATGATAGACAGTCAAATAAATATTTTTAAAAATCCAAGCTTAGGATAGACATCCAAAAAATATTTAAATAAAATATTTTTAGAAAATTCCAGCTTATTATAAAGTTCAACAAAATACTCTTACAAAAAATTGTTCAAATCGACTCTAAGGATTATTTGTCAAAAATTATTATTTTTTTTAATACGACGTTTCGGTAGACGTTCGAATTTTCTAAAACTTTCGGACAGATCTAAAATTATGTAGAGCTGCATAATCATCTTTTATTTTTCTCAACATCCAACTATTCCATTTTTCACCCATTTCTGTTCATATCAAAATCGCTTCGCTTTCCCCGGCGGTGATATATGGTGATATGTGGTGCAATTGAATGCCTTGGAATCGCAAGCCATTGGTTATCAATAATGTCGTGTATTGGTTTAAGAATGCCCGGGCCGCCCTGAAACGTGTTGAAATGCGTGGTGGATTTGGGGGCACGCAGGGTGGTGGCAGTAGTGGTGGTGACAGCAGTGGTGGTGGCAGCAGTGGTGGTGGCAGCAGTGGTGGTGGCAGCAGTGTACGATCCCGTTTGCGATCTTCATATTTATGTTCAAATCACGTTCTTCATATTTATGTTCAAAGGTTAAAAAACGCCAGAAATCAACAAGCAGCCAGCAGACAGATTTAGTATAAATCCCACAGTCATATTTAATCTCTTTCCTAATAACTCCACACAGACATACATTTATACATACATACGAACATTACAAAAACCCGACGATAACGTAACAAATGCACCAACAATCACACCCTGCCAATGACCAGTGAAAGATTCTAAAACTCTGTTGATGGTACTGTGAAAGCTAAATTCCAAAATCCCTGTCCCATTTGGTAATGAGAGGCTCTTACAATAGGTATACATACCAACGGTGATTCTTGTCGTTGTTACCAACAATGTTGGCTATATAATAACACTATCAATAACAGGTAATAACAATAACAACGACTAAAACAATTAACACATTAAATAGACGCCATAAATAAATATTATAGACAGTCAAATAAATATTTTTAAAAATCCAAGCTTAGGATAGACATCCAAAAAATATTTAAATAAAATATTTTTAGAAAATTCCAGCTTATTATAAAGTTCAACAAAATACTCTTACAAAAAATTGTTCAAATCGACTCTAAGGATTATTTGTCAAAAATTATTATATTTTTTAATACGACGTTTCGGTAGACGTTCGAATTTTCTAAAACTTTCGGACAGATCTAAAATTATGTAGAGCTGCATAATCATCTTTTATTTTTCTCAACATCCAACTATTCCATTTTTCACCCATTTCTGTTCATATCAAAATCGCTTCGCTAGCCCCGGCTGTGATATATGGTGATATGTGGTGCAATTGAATGCCTTGGAATCGCAAGCCATTGGTTATCAATAATGTCGTGTATTGGTTTAAGAATGCCCGGGCCGCCCTGAAACGTGTTGAAATGCGTGGTGGATTTGGGGGCACGCAGGGTGGTGGCAGTAGTGGTGGTGACAGCAGTGGTGGTGGCAGCAGTGGTGGTGGCAGCAGATCCCGTTTGCGATCTTCATATTTATGTTCAAATCACGTTCTTCATATTTATGTTCAAAGGTTACAAAAACGCCAGAAATCAACAATCAGCCAGCAGACAGATTTAGTATAAATCCCACAGTCATATTTAATCTCTTTCCTAATAACTCCACACAGACATACATTTATACATACATACGAACATTACAAAAACCCGACGATAACGTAACAAATGCACCAACAATCACACCCTGCCAATGACCTAGTTCATACGAGAGCCAGACATGTCCTCTTTCTAACACAGTTGGAATTTTCGGATTCCGATGTTCCAGTGAGGAGTTATCATGCCCGCCATCGAAAATAAGGACTTTTCTTTAAACCCAAAAAACAACAACAAAACAACAACAAAAAATTTTGGTAAATTATTTTTCTTCCTTTTTAAATCTTCAAATATATATGTGCCAAGTTACAAGGCTTAACAAGCATTGGTATTTATTTACCAGCCCATTTAAAATGTTAAAAATAAAAAATCCAAAAAATATTTAAATAAAATATTTTTAGAAAATTCCAGCTTATTATAAAGTTTAACAGAATACTCTTACAAAAAATTGTTCAAATCGACTCGAAGGATTATTTGTCAAAACTTATTATATTTTTTAATACGACGTTTCGGTAGACGTTCGAATTTTCTAAAACTTTCGGAGAGATCTAAAATTATGTAGGGCTGCATAATCATCTTTTATTTTTCTCAACATCCAACTATTCCATTTTTCACCCATTTCTGTTCATATCAAAATCGCTTCGCTATCCCCGGCGGTGATATATGGTGATATGTGGTGCAATTGAATGCCTTGGAATCGCAAGCCATTGGTTATCAATAATGTCGTGTATTGGTTTAAGAATGCCCGGGCCGCCCTGAAACGTGTTGAAATGCGTGGTGGATTTGGGGGCACGCAGGGTGGTGGCAGTAGTGGTGGTGACAGCAGTGGTGGTGGCAGCAGTGGTGGTGGCAGCAGTGGTGGTGGCAGCAGTGTACGATCCCGTTTGCGATCTTCATATTTATGTTCAAATCACGTTCTTCATATTTATGTTCAAAGGTTAAAAAACGCCAGAAATCAACAAGCAGCCAGCAGACAGATTTAGTATAAATCCCACAGTCATATTTAATCTCTTTCCTAATAACTCCACACAGACATACATTTATACATACATACGAACATTACAAAAACCGACGATAACGTAACAAATGCACCAACAATCACACCCTGCCAATGACCAGTGAAAGATTCTAAAACTCTGTTGATGGTACTGTGAAAGCTAAATTCCAAAATCCCTGTCCCATTTGGTAATGAGAGGCTCTTACAATAGGTATACATACCAACGGTGATTCTTGTCGTTGTTACCAACAATGTTGGCTATATAATAACACTATCAATAACAGGTAATAACAATAAATATTATAGACAGTCAAATAAATATTTTTAAAAATCCAAGCTTAGGATAGACATCCAAAAAATATTTAAATAAAATATTTTTAGAAAATTCCAGCTTATTATAAAGTTCAACAAAATACTCTTACAAAAAATTGTTCAAATCGACTCTAAGGATTATTTGTCAAAAATTATTATTTTTTTAATACGACGTTTCGGTAGACGTTCGAATTTTCTAAAACTTTCGGACAGATCTAAAATTATGTAGAGCTGCATAATCATCTTTTATTTTTCTCAACATCCAACTATTCCATTTTTCACCCATTTCTGTTCATATCAAAATCGCTTCGCTAGCCCCGGCGGTGATATATGGTGATATGTGGTGCAATTGAATGCCTTGGAATCGCAAGCCATTGGTTATCAATAATGTCGTGTATTGGTTTAAGAATGCCCGGGCCGCCCTGAAACGTGTTGAAATGCGTGGTGGATTTGGGGGCACGCAGGGTGGTGGCAGTAGTGGTGGTGACAGCAGTGGTGGTGGCAGCAGTGGTGGTGGCAGCAGTGTACGATCCCGTTTGCGATCTTCATATTTATGTTCAAATCACGTTCTTCATATTTATGTTCAAAGGTTAAAAAACGCCAGAAATCAACAAGCAGCCAGCAGACAGATTTAGTATAAATCCCACAGTCATATTTAATCTCTTTCCTAATAACTCCACACAGACATACATTTATACATACATACGAACATTACAAAAACCCGACGATAACGTAACAAATGCACCAACAATCACACCCTGCCAATGACCAGTGAAAGATTCTAAAACTCTGTTGATGGTACTGTGAAAGCTAAATTCCAAAATCCCTGTCCCATTTGGTAAGGAGAGGCTCTAACAATAGGTATACATACCAACGGTGATTCTTGTCGTTGTTACCAACAATGTTGGCTATATAATAACACTATCAATAACAGGTAATAACAATAACAACGACTAAAACAATTAACACATTAAATAGACGCCATAAATAACTAAATCACAGGTTTACCATTGAACAGCATGCAATTGATTTGTTATTTTGTCGTTTGAAAAACTTAACTGTCTTAAATGCCCCCTATCATGAAAATTCTCAAAAGGTTGTGGGCGATTCTCACAAAGTAATATACAACAAAAAACGGAAAATAACAATAAAAATAACTATTACAACAACACAAGAAATACAAGAGAATTTCTGGGAAATAGGAGCGTGCCAGCAAGCCAAATAAGTTTTCAAACTGAAAGTATTTTTTTTTTTCGAAATTAAACTTTAATAAATGTTAATATTTTGATAATAGAAGGGGGGCTCCCGTCAGATTAGTATGGTGGACGTGGGAATTTTAGGAAAAATGTTGTATATGTGGCCCAAAAATCCAAAATTCATAAAATTCACAATTATAGCTCAGATAGTCCTTTCAAAACTGTGTTCTTTTAATTCACAACTGTTGTAAAAATGATTAAAATATCCGCTTTTATAGGCCAGGAAGTCCCTCCAAATAATATCGTTTTAAGACCTTCCAAAAATAATTAAAAATCAAGCAATCAAAGTATAGAAAGTCCCTAAAAATATGTTTTTAAACAAATTTCACGATTATTGATCAGATACCCATTCCAGAAAGTCCCTCAAAAAATCCACTCTTAATGCTCTGATAGTCCTTGACATAACATTTGTTTAGTTTTTAATCCGTTATAAGAACTTAATAGTTCTATGGGGAATAGTCCTATGGGTATAGAAAATATAATAGCCCCATATTACATATTATCATCTCATTTTCATTATTTTCAAGGCCCAGAACAATGATCTATAATGATCTCTGACTAGTGTTGTGAGTTTTTGTTTCAATTTGTAATCACTTCTGTGTGTATTAGAAGGTATGAAATGTTATCAAAAAAAAAAAAAAAAAAAAAAAAAAACAAAAATTACCCGGAACTAAAGCGAAACTACTTAATGGATATCAAGAAAACTTTTCGGTTAATTTTTTTTCTTTCAAAAAATCAAATCACTTAAGGCCCCTTTTGGAATGACAATAATAACAAACCAAAAAAAAGTAAATTCTAAATGGTGTAAGGAAAATGGGGATTCCGCCAAGGCAACCAAGGTGATTAATTGGTGATATAACACTTTGTTTACCATGATTTAGGGTCGTACCTCACCTCAAAAGTTAATTACATGTATTTCAATGAATATTACCCAAATACGCATTGCGTATAGACAGTCAAATAAATATTTTTAAAAATCCAAGCTTAGGATAGACATCCAAAAAATATTTAAATAAAATATTTTTAGAAAATTCCAGCTTATTATAAAGTTCAACAAAATACTCTTACAAAAAATTGTTCAAATCGACTCTAAGGATTATTTGTCAAAAAATATTATTTTTTTTAATACGACGTTTCGGTAGACGTTCGAATTTTCTAAAACTTTCGGACAGATCTAAAATTATGTAGAGCTGCATAATCATCTTTTATTTTTCTCAACATCCAACTATTCCATTTTTCACCCATTTCTGTTCATATCAAAATCGCTTCGCTTTCCCCGGCGGTGGTATATGGTGATATGTGGTGCAATTGAATGCCTTGGAATCGCAAGCCATTGGTTCTCAATAATGTCGTGTATTGGTTTAAGAATGCCCGGGCCGCCCTGAAACGTGTTGAAATGCGTGGTGGATTTGGGGGCACGCAGGGTGGTGGCAGTAGTGGTGGTGACAGCAGTGGTGGTGGCAGCAGTGTACGATCCCGTTTGCGATCTTCATATTTATGTTCAAATCACGTTCTTCATATTTATGTTCAAAGGTTAAAAAACGCCAGAAATCAACAAGCAGCCAGCAGACAGATTTAGTATAAATCCCACAGTCATATTTAATCTCTTTCCTAATAACTCCACACAGACATACATTTATACATACATACGAACATTACAAAAACCCGACGATAACGTAACAAATGCACCAACAATCACACCCTGCCAATGACCAGTGAAAGATTCTAAAACTCTGTTGATGGTACTGTGAAAGCTAAATTCCAAAATCCCTGTCCCATTTGGTAATGAGAGGCTCTTACAATAGGTATACATACCAACGGTGATTCTTGTCGTTGTTACCAACAATGTTGGCTATATAATAACACTATCAATAACAGGTAATAACAATAACAACGACTAAAACAATTAACACATTAAATAGACGCCATAAATAACTAAATCACAGGTTTACCATTGAACAGCATGCAATTGATTTGTTATTTTGTCGTTTGAAAAACTTAACTGTCTTAAATGCCCCCTATCATGAAAATTCTCAAAAGGTTGTGGGCGATTCTCACAAAGTAATATACAACAAAAAACGGAAAATAACAATAAAAATAACTATTACAACAACACAAGAAATACAAGAGAATTTCTGGGAAATAGGAGCGTGCCAGCAAGCCAAATAAGTTTTCAAACTGAAAGTATATTTTTTTTTTCGAAATTAAACTTTAATAAATGTTAATATTTTGATAATAGAAGGGGGGCTCCCGTCAGATTAGTATGGTGGACGTGGGAATTTTAGGAAAAATGTTGTATATGTGGCCCAAAAATCCAAAATTCATAAAATTCACAATTATAGCTCAGATAGTCCTTTCAAAACTGTGTTCTTTTAATTCACAACTGTTGTAAAAATTATTAAAATATCCGCTTTTATAGGCCAGGAAGTCCCTCCAAATAATATCGTTTTAAGACCTTCCAAAAATAATTAAAAATCAAGCAATCAAAGTATAGAAAGTCCCTAAAAATATGTTTTTAAACAAATTTCACGATTATTGATCAGATACCCATTCCAGAAAGTCCCTCAAAAAATCCACTCTTAATGCTCTGATAGTCCTTGACATAACATTTGTTTAGTTTTTAATCCGTTATAAGAACTTAATAGTTCTATGGGGAAAAATATGTCAAAAAGAGTGACTTCTATCCAATATCTTTTATATTTCTTCGATTTTTTATATATATATATCTTCTCTATTGAATAGCCCCATATTACATATTATCATCTCATTTTCATTATTTTCAAGGCCCAGAACAATGATCTATAATGATCTCTGACTAGTGTTGTGAGTTTTTGTTTCAATTTGTAATCACTTCTGTGTGTATTAGAAGATATGAAATGTTATAAAAAAAAAAAAAAAAACAAAAATTACACGGGACTAAAGCGAAACTACTTAATGGATATCAAGAAAACTTTTCGGTTAATTTTTTTTTTCTTTCAAAAAATCAAATCACTTAAGGCCCCTTTTGGAATGACAATAATAACAAACCAAAAAAAGTAAATTCTAAATGGTGTAAGGAAAAAGGGGATTCCGCCAAGGCAACCAAGGTGATTAATTGGTGATATAACACTTTGTTTACCATGATTTAGGGTCGTACCTCACCTCAAAAGTTAATTACATGTATTTCAATGAATATTACCCAAATACGCATTGCGTATAAAAATATAAAGTTGAAAATTTTCAACATTGACAATGCGTATTTTGGAATTTTTGTTTTTTGAAAATAGAATTCCAGTCATTGAAAAATGTGTTTTTCTATAAATGTAAACATTTTTCGATCAATCAATTCTCGACGTTTTCAATTGGCACAGATGCAAATAAAGTCCTTGCGTATTTGGGTAATACGGACGTCTTGCAAACCCTATAAAGGTGAGTATTTTTGTACGGACCGCAATAAATTAGGTACGACCCTTACAATTAATGGGAATTTATTTTGCTTTCACTGGCGCATCACATGTATATTTGTTGATTGATATTATTCATATATTTTTTTCTTCCGGTATTAAACAAATATCAATGTTTATGGCGTCAAATGAATAAAATAAAATAAAACAATTGCGTCACACTGAAAATGATATGTGTGTAAACAAAAAGTGTGGCGTGAGCGCACGATGTTAGACAATTTAAATATTTCTTTGAGATAAGAATTTTATTAAAGAAAGTATATTTTTCAAAATATAAAAAAATATTTAAACAAATCCAAATCTAAAACGACGGTCCAAGAATTTGTAAAAATGAATCTAAGCTTAATAGGCCAAAGAAAAATTAAAATAAAAATAAATCATAGCCTAGGTAATAGGTCAGAAATATTTAAAAGACCAAAGTTAGTGGGTCAAAAGATATTTTTAAAAATTAAAACTTAGTGTAGAAGGTCTAACTATATTTATAATAAATTCACGCCTATGTGGCCCTTGAAAAAATATTTAAACACAAAATCCACCTTATGGTAGTAATTGAAAAATATTTTTAATTAATCCAAACTTATGATTGTCCGTGAAAAAAATAATTTTTATAAATCCACTCTTATGATAGTCATTGAAAAAAAAAATTATAAATCCAGGCATAGTGTAATAGGTAAAAAAAATATTTTTAAAAATCCAAGATCAATGTATTAGGTCAATACTATTTATAATTGATTCATAGTGCTTGAAAAAAATATTTAAAACAATTCTCTCTTATGATAAAAACAAATCTTAGGTTATGATAGTCCTTGCAAAAACTCAGTCACAAAAATATTTAAAACAAGTGAAAAAGCGTTAAGTTCGGCCGGGCCGAACTTTGGATACCCTCCACCATAGTTATACTGACAGATACATGCAATGAAAATATAGGGAACATACCAAAAGTTGGGCACCATTATGTACATCAAATACAAACTTCGGCAATTTTTTAAGGGGGTTTTTTCTAAAATCTGTAAGATCCAAAAAGTGGACTGATATTGATAACGCATTGTAGAGTATAAAATCCTCAAACTACTGTAATTTAGATTACAAAGTTATATGAGGCTATGCTTAAAGAGGGACCAATATTGATTACATAGTGTAGGAAATAGTGAATATTTGGGGATATCATCATATGAGGGCTATGCCTAATTAATGACCGGTATATGCCAATTTTGAACCAAATATTTTAATTGTTTATCTCAATTCTTTCCTTCAGGATGTATCACTATATTGAGGATATGCCTAAATGTCTGCCGATATATTTCATTATCATCATGTTTGAGTTTTTTTTATCACAATATCTTCAGAAGGCGGAATGCTTATGGCTAAATAGTCTTTGTAGGGTAAAAATTGACTATTCCCCGTAACGACTACCCAACCGCAACACACGGAACAAATCAGATAACTATTTTAATATAAAAAGGGGGTTATATGGGGACTACCCCTAAAAAGCGGTGAATATTAATAATTTTTGGTGGGGAGATTTGTTACCATATACGACTACAAAATACCAAATGTCAGCGAATTCGGTTGAAAAACGCGCTCAAGAACCTCAAAATATCGAAAATTGGGGGTACCCTTATATGGGGTCTATCCGAAAAAAATGGACCTATATTTATAATTTTTAGTGTAGAAATTTGCTACCCAATAAGAACTCAAAGTACTAAATAACAGCCAATTCGATGAAAAAATGCGATCAAAACCCCCAAAATACGAAAATTTGGGGGGTACCGTTATATGGGGGCTACCAGAAAAAGTGGACCGATATTTATAATTTTTAGTTTAGATATTTGCTACCAAATAAGAACCCAATGTTCAAAATTTCAGAGAATTCGGTTGAAAAACACGCTCAAGAACCCCAAAATACCGAAAATTGGGGGTACCCTTATATGGGGGCTATCGGAAAAAATTGACCTATATTTATAATTTTTTGTGGAGAGATTTGGTACGTTTTAGGAACTCAAAATACTAAATTACAGTCAATTCGGTGGAAAAATACGATCAAAAACCCCCAAAATACTAAAAATTAGGAGGTACCGTTATATGGGGGCTACCAGAAAAAGTGGACCTATATTTTTAATTTTTTGTGGAGACATTTAGTACCCAATAAGAACTCAATGTACCAAATTTCAGCGTATTCGGTTGAAAAACGAGCTCAAGAACCCCAAAATGCCGAAAATTGGGAGGTACTGTTATATGGGAGCTATACCTAAATGTGGACCGATATATCCCATCTTCGAACTTGACCTGCCTGCAGACAAAAGACAACCCTATGCAAAATTTCAGCACCCTATCTCAATTCCATTAGAGGATAGCATGATTACAACCCGCGGGACTGACATGACTAGATCGTCTTAGAATTTTACCCTGATCAAGAATATATATACTTTATAGGGTCGGAAATGAATATTTCGATGAGTTACAAACGGAATGACAAAATTAATATACCCTCCATACTATGGTGGAGGGTATAAAAAGGGGGCTATATGGGGACTACCCCAAAAAGGGGGCGATATGGGGACTACCCCAAAAAGGGGGCGAATAATAATTTTTGGTAGGGATATTTGTTACCATATACGACTGCAAAATACCAAATTGCAGCAAATTCGGTTGAAAAACGCGCTCAAGAACCCCAAAATACCGAAAATTGGGGGTACCCTTATATGGGGGCTATCCGAAAAAATGGACCTATATTCATAATATTTTGTGGAGAGATTTGGAAACTATTAAGAACTCAATGTACCAAATTTCAGCGTATTCGGTAGAAAAACGCGCTCAAGAACCCCTAAATACCGAAAATGGGGGTACCTGTATATGGGGGATATCCGAAAAAATTGACCTATATTTATAATGTTTTGTGGAGAGATTTTGTACCTATTAAGAACCCAATATATTAAATTTCAGCGTATTCGGTTGAAAAACGCGCTCAAGAACCCCAAAATACCGAAAATTGGGGGTACCCTTATATGGGGGCTATCCGAAAAAATGTACCTATATACATAATTTATTGTAGAGAGATTTGGTGCCTATTAAGAACTCAAAATACTAAAT